CGCCCCTGATTGTTGGAAAAGAGTAACAAGATAAGACTAGTGAACGTTTATTTACCTCATTGCAGGTGATTTCAGAGAGTGACATTTTATCGAATCCAGTATCTGGACTGATGATTGGAATTTTAGTGACAGTCTTGGTTCAAAGTTCAAGTACTTCTACGTCCATTGTGGTTTCTATGGTTGGCGCCGGCAGTAAGTACAATTTGCAATGGTTCAGGTTTTCTCCAAAAATAATAACATGCTATGCCAAGCACAATCTTGACATTCAAAAATGTTACGTAAAAATATTTAGCGTTATCTCAGTTATTGCTATTACCTTTATTATTTTGTGATTAATAGTTTTACGTAATTTCTTATTTATTATCTGTGTAGTTCTTAAAGTGAATATAGCTATTCCGATCATAATGGGAGCCAACATTGGAACGTCCGTGACAAACACCATAGTTTCTATTGGCCAATCAGGTGACAGGAACGAGTTTCGCCGCGCGTTTGGAGGTGCTACTGTGCACGATATGTTTAATTGGTTGACGGTGGTAATCCTTTTACCAATCGAGTGGGCCTTTGGGTATCTATACAATTTGTCGGAGGCCATTTTGCCAGAAAAGTTGGACAGTAAAGATATTGAAATCGAGCTGTTAAAAGTTATCACAAAACCATTTACAAGCTTGGTAATTGAGGTAAGAATTATTGAAAATAATGCATATATTTTATTTTTCCCTTTTGTTAGTGAACATAATACTAATAAGAGCATAAGTAACTTTATTATTATTATTATTATTATCGTGAAAATATATTATTGCTACTTTTGAAATAGAGTACGTGTGGTTTGATTTTATATCTTCTTACCATTATGTCCATGCGCATACGACCGTTGACAATTTTCATCTTAAGTTTACAAAGATTGTCTCTGCTTGCAAGTTCATGTTTGTGCAAATTCACAGTGTAATATTAAGTTTTTGTCAATGCGATTAACTTTCTTTAAGGTTGACAAGAAAGCAATTACAGCGGTTGCAACAAGAGACAGAAATTCCAACGAAACGCTTGTGGTACGCGTCCTGAAGGTGTGCGACGACGGACCTTACAACGTAACTTCTTGTAAGTGAGCAAAAAGCCAATTTGTAGTTTAAACTGCGTATGCCCGTAAATCGGCATAATCCTATGTTGCGTACATGTTGAATGTTGACCTGATACGGGCATGCGCAATTAAAACTACGAATTGGCTTATCATCTCTCCATCATTTATTTCAACAATCTTTAATGAATCTCTAATTCCATAAACCAGAATTTCAGAATTAAACTTAAACTGGTTGTTCGTATTGTAGAAGTTTCAATTATGGCAGGCCTGTTAAGTTAAATTTCATAAAGTCCGGAATGCAAATGTTTTTCATTTAAAATGAATTTCCAATTTACAAATG